TACTTACTATAAACATATTTATATACTTACTATAAACATACTTTTTTAAACATTCTTACTATAAAATATAACAATCACATTCCTAGCTGGATGTGATGGTGAACACGTATAATCCCAGCAGCTCAGGAGGTTGAGACAGGAGGAGGATCGCAAGTTCTAAGCCGGCCTCAGCAAAATCGAGACGCTAAGCAACTAACTCAGTGAGACCATCTCTAGATAAAATGCAAAAAGTAGGGATATGATGTGACTCAGTGGCCAACTGCCTCTGAGTTCAATCCTGGTTCCACCCCCCAAAAAAAATCTGTATAGAAATGTTCTTAGCAATTACTACTAATAATCAAAAACTAGAAACAATTCAAATATGCCTCAACAGAAGAATAAACTGTGATACATCTGTACAATTCAATATGATTCAGAAATAAACAGGAGCCACTCTTGATATATACAACACTTTGGATGAATCTCAAGGTTAAATTAAAAAAAAATTCAGAAAGCCACATTATTTTGGAAGAAATAAGATCAGAAATTGCCAAGGAAACTCAGAGAAAAGGCTAAAAAAGGGGGTAGCCTTTTTGAAAGCAACGCGGTTTTGAGTGCGGTTTTGAGTGCGGCAGAGCACCGTGCTGCCAGAGCACCGTGCTGCCAGCTTCTGCTCCTGACTCACCGCTGTTCTCTCTGAGTAACAACAAGGTCAGGAAGCTGCACCACAGTCATGGCATTTAAAGACACCAGAAAGGCACCCATGGAACAGATAGTGATTCATTATATTAGAATTATCCTTACCAGCCCCAATGTGAAATTGCTTGACAAAGTGTATGCTGACTTGATCAGAGGCATAAAGGAAAAGAATCTCAAAGTGAAAGGACCTGTTTGCATGCCTACTAAGACTTTGAGAATCACTAAAAGAAAAACATCTTGTGGTGAAGGTTCCGAGACCTGGGATCCTTTCCAGATGAGAATCCACAAGGACTCATTGACTTGCACAGTCCTTCTGAGATTGTTAAGCAGATTACTTTCATCAGTATTGAGCCAGGAGTGAAGGTCGAAATCACCATTGCAGATGCCTAAGTCAACTGTTTTAATAAATTATCAATTGTTTAAAAAAAAAAGAAAAGGGGGGTAACAAATTTTGGGGAGTGGGGGGTGATGTTAGAATTGTTCTCCATTTTGATACATAATCGGTTTTAAAATTCAGACCTGCACATCAAAGAGCAAACTTCAGTATCTATAAATTGAAATGAATTTTTTTTWAAATCAAGCGAAAATTAACAAATGATTAAAAATCCKTGGGGCTAGGGTTGTGGCTTAGCAGTAGAGCACTCATCTAGCATGTGCAAGGCCCTGGGTTCCTCAGCACCACATAAAAATAAATAAAGGTATTGTGTCCAACTACTTCTGAAAAATAAATATTAAAAAAAAAAAATCCTAGCATCCACACTCCTATGAAGCTCTTCCTTATGAAAGAAATCCAGCTAATAACCCAAGGAGATTTGGGTACATCTGGACTAATTAAAAGCACATGTCCCCTAATATAATGAATTGAGAATTTGGCATGACTTCTGGAGTAGTCCTGCCAAAGGGCATAACCTGAATCTAATCATGAGAAAACACGAGACAAAGCCAAATTGAGGCCATTCTATAAAATAACTGGTGTAAACTCTTTAAAAATGTCATTTCCATAAAACATACACTTAGGAACTGGTCCAAATTAAAGTAGACAAAAGAGGTGTGTGAATCTAATATAATGTACAATCTCAAAATTTTTTTTTTTATAAATACCTTATGGGGACAAAACCTCCATACAGTTTCCTGATTAGATAACAATATTGAATCAATGTTAATTTTCTGATTCTAAACATTGCATTGTGATTACAGGATTCCTTGTTTTTAGAAAAGGTAGCACTGAAATACTTAAGGTAAAGAAGCATCATGTCTGTATGTTACCTTTTGATTTTTGTGATGCAGGGAACTGAACTCAGGGCCTTGTACATGCCAGGTAGGGTTCTAACTCTGAGCTACACCCAACATGTATCTTACTCTAAATGGTTAATAAGTAAAAAATAATTAGTAAGAAGGGAAAAGAAAGTAAATGAGGTAAAATTTAGCACATCTGGATAAAAAGTATTTAAGAATTCTTTGTAATATTTTTTAAAATACTATTTTTTAAATATTTTTTTGTAGTCACAGTTGGACACAATAACTTGCGAGCGCTCTACCGCTGAGCCATATCCCCAGCCACCTTTGTAGTATTTTTRTAACTTATTTCTAAGTATGAAGTTATGGAAAAATTGTTCTAAAAAGTAAATGTTCATTGGGCTAGAAGTAATAGGCCAAGCAAGCTAGAATAAAGCAAATAATCTAAATAAGGAATCAACATAAACACATTTACTCTCTTTATCTACTCCCTCTCCTCTCTCCCTGTCCCCCCTCTCTCCCCCTCTCCTCTCTCTCTCTCTCTCTGTCTCTTCCCTTCTCTTCTGCAACTGATCACTATGGTCCTGCTAATAAAATCTTAGACAGGTAAACAGTTGTTTTGGCTTGTTGAGTTTACAGAGCTTTTCCATCGTCCTTTACAGTATTAAAAACAAAAACAAAAACATAAACACATTTACTAACATTAAGACTCTAGTGATAACTTCTGGCAGTGACACAGTATTAATCAGGGAGGCATGTCCCATCACTCTGGATTTCCTGAGTTCCTGTGTTCTGTTGTGGCAAGGAATCAGCTCGACATTGTTACAAGTCTCAATTACATAGGCAACTCTTGGCTACAATCTCTTTCCTTGCTCATCAGTGACTTGACTATAACACAGGAGCTTCAAGTACAGGTCTGGCTACACTAAGATAATGATCATACTGACTTATAAATTAGTCATATTTATAAATGTTACAAGTTAGCCTCTTGTGCATTTGATTAATAATAGCCTTCTTAACCCATGTCAATTCTGAGATATTTCTAAATATTTTGAATATGAGAACCATACTCTAAAATGGTAAATTTATCAAGGTTGCTTAACTCTGGGTAGGGTCTTGAATGATAACTTTTTTCTTATTCTTTTTCCTAATCACAGTCTCTTCCAACTAGCAGGTTTCAATACTCATAAAACATCAAAAATAAATAAAATTGGCCAGGTTTGGTGGTACACACCTATAATTTCAGTGACTCAGGTAGCTGAGGCATGAGGATTACAACTTTGAGGCCAGCCTGGGCAAGTTAATGAGGTTCTATTTCAAAATAAAAATAAAAAAGGGCTAAGGTATAGCTCAGTGGTAGAGCACCCCTGAGTTCAACCTCAGTACCAAAACAAATAAATAAGACTACTTGGCATGGCACATACCTATAATTCTAGCTACTCAGAAGGTTAAGGGAGAAGGATCACAAGTTCAAAGCCAGTCTGGGCAACTTAGCAAGATCTTGTTACAGAATAAAATTTTTTAAAAAGTGGGGAAGGCTATAGCTCAGTGGTAGAGCACTTGCTTAACATGTTTGAGGACCTGGGTTCATTCTTCAGTTCTGCAAATAAATAAATAAATAAATAAATAAGATTAAATAAAGTTAGATATTAAATTTTTCACTGGGAAAATAACATATGACAAGTACTTGAATAACATAACAATTCCACTTTGGAAAAATGCATGATACTCTTTCATGTAAATATGACAATAACCATTTCAAGGACACAAAATAGGGAGGGCTATTTTTATTTTCATGCTTTTTAACATCTTGACATAGAAGAAAGAAATTGTTGAGGCCATGCTCAACTATAAAGAACTAAAGACAAGCCATCCCTACTAGTCTATCACCAAGAATAGCATATGCCTTTTACATGTACAACTGAATGTGCAGACAGAAAAGGAACCAATTAGAAAGTTCARGCTTTCATTCATAACTTCAAAATTGGGAATTCGATCTTAAAAAAGGAAAGATTCCATTCAGCACTCGCTCAATCTCTTTATTTAATGGAAAGCATATAATTAATGAAGTAGCACTTAGTTTGGTATAGTTAGTAAGATCTTGCTGCTACAGAAATAGAATTGTAATACTAAAATTCAAGCCAAGTCTCTTTCTTCAGCATGTGTAATGCATTCTACATTCAAATCTGATAAACAGTTTTTAAAGCATATACTTCATTTGTATTATTTTACCATCTACATGCTGGAATCTAATATTGTTTTTGATAGTGATGTGTTCAATGATAGAAATTTACAGAGAAAATTTCTTTTTTCTCAATCTGTAAACCAAAAATGTAAAAGCAAACTCTTTGAAGTAATAGAAAGACATTTTATGACATAAATAGACTACTACCCTAAGCTATTGGCCCAAGCAAAAAAAAAGAACAAATTGCTCTTTAAATAACCACTCCATATGTGCTACAAAGATGTAAACATTTTCTATATATTTCTTTATATTACAGTAAAAGTTAATGTTTAAAAACTTCTGCAAGACTGCGAATATAACTCAGTGGCTGAGTGCCTGCTTAGCAAACAAGTGCCAAGTTTCAGGTCTGATCCCCAGCACCACACAAAAAAAGCTTTTGAAAATGTTAATTTTATGAAGAAATTTTTAAAAAGTTAACTTCCCTTTTGAGTGTCCAGTGACAAAACAATCCCAATTTCCCTTCACTAAGGACATAAAAATGATCTGAAGTGAATCAAAATGCTTAAAAAGTTCATGTTAAAAATGACCTTCCAGGACTGGGTTGTGGCTCAGTGATAGAGCGCTTGCCTTGCACATGTGAGACACTGGGTTCAATCCTCAGCACCACATAAAAATAAATAAACAAAATAAAGATATTGTGTCCATCTACAACTAAAAAAAAATATATATATATATATATATATATATATATATATTTAAATTTTTTAAAATGACCTTCCATATGCTCATAAAACCATCAACATAAAAAGAATGTGAAAGCTGTTTTATACTTGAATATTTAGTTAACATCTAAGGAATCAAAACATTTGAGCTTTTAAATCTAGCACTATAATATATAAAAATAGTATAGTAGCTTATATTTTAAAAGAGCAAAGTGATAAAACTGCACACATAAATTGGCCCAAGTATCAGCAACAATTATATCCTTCTGAATCTTTTATTATCTAGAACTTCAAAATTATCAATCCTTTTTAGTGCTTAGAGTAAACAATCAAAATAGTTATATTTATTCAGATTTAAAACTAAATTTCTCCATATGGAAGCACAGAAGCAATACATAGAAAAGGTCATTTTGTTCCAACTTCCTGAGCCCAGAGATGTACAGTCTATAATATAATCTCATTATGTCATCACTGATGCACCTTCTTCACCAGTGGCATCTTGGGAAATATGAAGATCTTCAAGCATCTCAGCCAAACTAATTCGAGGTGCTCCTTCATCATCTGTGTCACTCTCCACAGGTATAGTTGAATCTAAGAAAAAAATAAAAAGGATTTCAAATAAATACAAATATGAAATTAGACAAATTTCTGCCCCTACCATTAATATTATTATCTAACTATATGGTACTAGAAGTTCTTGTATTTTACCTAGGGCTGGCATTCAAATATTCACTGAATGAATGGACTGAATAAATATATAAATAAATTTCTACCAGTAAAGAAGCTATCATGCTAGGAAAAAAAAATGATATTAAATGTAGTATAGCAAACAATGTAGTAAGTTTTACTATTCTATAAGTAATTTCTTCTTAAAAGTTTGACTACAGTAGTTTAAAAAATTTACAATAAAAATAACGTATAAGGATCAAAGTTTAAGATCCCAAAATATTCTTCCTGATAAAATATGATTTCAACACTCCTAAAACACCAACCTCTATAGATGTTGACATTTTTTCTAATTGCCTCATCTTCTTCAAGATCTTCAAGGAAATCTTGGTATTGCCTATAGGATAAAAAAAAAAAAAAATTAAATATTTCACTTTCACCAAGAAAAGTATGAAGTTCTCTTCATTTTCAGCACTGCAAGGTAATGTGCTCTACATATTACCATCTTTCAAAAAAAAGTCAAATATGGATGCCAATTCAATACTAATAGGCGGAAAACATTTCTTTCAAAATTACATGATTGAAAAAAAAAAAAAAAAACAGCTGAATACAAAGGTAAGGTTAAATATAAGACAATGAGAAGATATCCCTCTCCCAAAAAGTTTTATGGCCAAGTTGAAATACACTTTCACTTTACAGATGAAGCAATGAAACCATACTTACAGAATCTAATTGCCATGTTGTACATTTATGCATATTATAACTGTGAGATTATATTTCAGAAATACTGCTATTTCCTAATTCACATTTCGTAAGTTTTATATAAACTCTTYATTTCACCATCATTAAGACCACTTTGAGTCATACAAAAATCTTTTTTAGAAYACATTATCTTGCTTCTGGTTGTTTTGGAAATAACATTTGATCTCAAAAAGCTGTTTTCGGGGCTGGGGATGTGGCTCAAGCGGTAGCGCGCTCGCCTGGCATGCGTGCGGCCCGGGTTCGATCCTCAGCACCACATACCAACAAAGATATTGTGTCCGCCAAGAACTAAAAAATAAATATTAAAAAAAAAAAAAAAAAAGCTGTTTTCTTTATCTCAGATCGTAAGTACTCACCTGCTATTTGTGATATCCTTGTTATTTATTATATTTTGACTTTTGAACTGAATTATTTACATCAACACTATAATTACAAGGTAATAACTCAAGAAATAATTATTAATCTGTATTACATTCTCTTAAATTTATTCCATCAATACCTTGATAGAAATCTTAATACTGAGTGCAAGGATCAACTAACTGTGTGATGCCTATTTCTTTACAATATAAAATCAATTTATTCTAAGGATTTTCTCTGAGACAACATTTACGGTTAAAAGAAAAGTGGGACCTTTCATCATCTGTATCCATGTTTTCTCTATCTCTTGCAAGTTCTTTCAGTTTCCAGTTTCTACGACGCTGACGTTTGGTACGGTCATAGCTTTTCTTGATTAATACCTATAACAGAAATATCTGCAAAGTTATAAACCATAAGAGCTACAGTCGGACAACAAAAATCCAATAAAGTTAAAATATGAAAGTTTATAGGAATGCCAGGGAAGCCTTCAAACTAGACAGTGGTTAAGAGTAAGGTAGGGACCAAGAGGCATTGTCAGGGGAACTTTTATAACTTTTCTCCATGTATTTATGGGAGAATACATCTGCGTACTATTTGTATAACTAAATTTACTAAGTGAAATTTTCTAGAGACTGATATAAAATTTTTATCACCAAAAATCTATAGTTTTTTTTTAACTTGAACTTCAATTTTCAGCTACGACTCATATGAATCGTCTTGAAATATCATAGGCACTTTTTATTTATTCTATTCCCACTTACAGAACTTACACAACAGGATATCTTAGAAAACATTAATGCTGTGGAATTAATAGGTGAAAATAATTTTATAAAATACAAATCTTATAATACCTTCATGATTTCCTCTTATGACCTTGTYAGAAATATCTACTGTGTTACATCCAAATCATCCTTCTATTTCCTAATTTCATTAGTTACTTAAAATACAATTGGGTGACAGTGGTAGATGTAGGAAGGAGGGTATCTTTCTTTTACTATGACTTTATTTTGGCCATAGCTAAAGAAATCAATGTTTATTTTTCAAAAGATAAGCAACTAGGAGATAGGGTCTTTCACACCAATTTCATTAACTATTGTTCATTATTCTTAATCATGTTTGAACTTAACAGACTTTCACAATAGTTTTTATCAGAGAACTGATAACATGATTATTTTCAACTGCAATTACATTTTACAGTTGGCCAAATCAAACCTAAACTCTAACTCTAATTCTTACCTGGACAATATACATGAAATATGCTAAACTTGGGTAAGAGAAAACATAAGTAAACTCTAAAGATCATCGTTTCTAGCTACAAACTTATTTTTGCTCTATAGATAAGTACCAAGTATTTTGACAGAGAATAAAATTTTATTTTAAACAGTTAACAACAAAGAAATCAAATCTTGAATTTACCCCACTAAGAAAAATGATTTAAAATGAATATTTCTGCTATTATGCCTTAAGTAAGAAATCTCTAAGTTGATTTATTATTTTCAAAAGTGTGAACTCATGCAGCTCTTTCATAAGAATTACAAGAGTCCTCTTTAACACAGGAAAAAAAGAAAAAAATATCTAAAGCCTTACCACATCTGGAACTCTCTCTGAGTTCATTTTGTTGACATGYTCATCATTTAAATTACAGTTGGCCAAATCAAACCTGAAATCCAAACAAGGAAAAACTTGCTATTTCCCTTTGTATGTAAAATTTTTTATTTTAGGGATATCACTTAAAACTTTCTCTGAAGTCAAACATTTAAAGTTTTTCACTTTAAAGCTTTGCGATTTACTATACAGTGAACACATTTCTTCACATTCCAGAAAAGAAATACCTTTCACATATTATCCATTATTGTGTACCTTACTGTATGCTTTTGTTAAAGACAAAACACAGACATATATCCATCTAACTTTAGGATTCGGTAGAAATGAATAAAACAAAATAAAAATATCCCCCATTCTCCAGTGAAAGGAAATGAAACCCTCAGAGTAAAAGCAATGTTTAAAGCACACTGATTAGCTTTGATTGAGAAAGGATTGTTCCATGTCTTTATAAACACTTTGCAGATATGGCTACCATTTCTTAAAAGTAAAATATTGAGGAGAGCATGTGCACAATAAAAAACTACCCACTCCCCAAAAAAGCTTCAAATATGAATTGAACTATATACATTCAGGAGTCAATTACCAAAATCTTAGAACAAATGACTTTTTTAGATGATGGCCAAAACACAACAGCTACAAGCTTCTAATTCCAGAGTTTAATTTAGATACATATTAAAAAAAAAAAAAAAAAAAAAAGCTATTAAGGCTCCAGAAAACTCTTAAAAAATCTTTTTGGAATGGGCAACTTTAGTGTTTTAGGTAGCTCTATTGGCACCCAAAGAAAATCTCTAATGCTAATTGGCAGTTTAAAATATTATAAAATAATACAAACCCCAAAACCAGGTCTCCAGGATTTAGAAGGTGTCCCAAATGAGTACGACAAAAATACTGCTTATCTGTATCCATTTCAGATGTTTTCTGTACCCAGACTTCACCAAGGGTATGCTTAATAGGAAAGAAAATGTAGTTTTCAATAATCTGAACATAACTCAATAAGTATCTCATAGAAAAATTAAATACCAAATTGATTTTTAGTTTTTTAGTTTTCATTTTAAAGATTTTTTTCCAGATCTCTGAAACACTGTCAATAATTAATAAATTACTGAATAATGAGTATCAAAAAAGACTCAGAAGGCAATCATAAGAACAAATAATTGATTTTTGTTACAAGTTTAAGGCTCTTATAAAACATTAAAATCTCTTCTGAAAAATACATAAAGACTTTTTGAAAGAATTGTTTCTCACAGGGAGATTGGGCATACAGACTGGGAAAATAAAATAAAGGTAGGAAAATCTTAAAGCAAGAAAATATTCTAAGCAAACACTTCTTTTACACAAAGCTTCAAAAAGAAAAACAATGTTCAAACAAAACAATCTTGAATGAAATCCCAGTAGTGTATCCCTATAGAATCCAGACCTTCAAATTAATTTTGGGGTATTACACTAGTTCACAGTATAATTTTAAAAAAACTATTTATTGCAGAAACAATATCCTGCTTAATTTTGAAAGTTTAAAGTAGAAAACTGTTCATTCACTTTCACTTTCCAACGTAAGATTTTACAAGCACTTTTAACTGACATTTTAAACTTCAAGACTGAATTAAACATAGTCCATGCCAACCATTTACTAACACAGATAAACCAAGTAAAGTGGATTATTAACAACAACAACAAAAAAACTAAAAGTCAATAGTAAAATTAAAGAAACTTAAAGAGATGAAAAGAGGATGCTGTAGAAGGAAGAAACTGAAATAAAATACAGGTCTCAGGTATGGAAAGAACTGACAAAAAAAGGGAATTACCAGAGAGACTAAGTTCTATTTAACAGGATTCACTTTCTAGTTCTTATATTGCTCCTAATTAAAACRGACTTAAGAACTGTTCTACTTAAATGCATTTTTGAAAACCAAGAAAACATACTAYCTGGTTTTTCTATATTATATATGAAAAGTTAGCTCTTAACTATATTATTTTTTAAATAAATATATAGAAAGTATTCTGTCTTCTATTTTCAGTGATTTTTTCCCCAAAATAATCAGAAATTATTTTTGTCTCAAAAAGCAATATTAACTCAAAGGAAATGAGCATCCTTGGAAACCAGACTGGAAGCCGGGTGTGGTAGCGCCACCCTAGCAGCTCGGGAGGCTGAGGCAGGGAGGCTGAGACAGGAGGATAGCAAATTCAAAGCCAGCTTCAGCAAAAGCAAGGCACTAAGGAATTCAGTGAGACCCTGTCTCTAAATAAAATATAAAACAGGGCTGGGGATGTGCCTCAATCGTCGAGTGCCCCTGAGTTCAATCCCTGGTACCCCCTCCCCACCCCTGCAAAAAAAGAATCTAGATTAGAGGTATCTAAATACTATATACACACTAAAAGAAATCTGACTTTTATCCTTGAAAAACTTATTTCAGATATGGGTTAAGTATCATACAATGTGATTTTAGAACACCTGGATGCTGTTTTGTGCTTTCACAGAAAGCAATGCATTCAGACTAAGAAAGCCATTTCAAAAAAACATAGGAACCATTCTGAAGGGGCTCTCACTGCCTAAATTTAGGGCAATCTAAATATTTTAAAAGAAAAAATATACCTGTGAGGGGTGGAGGAGAAAAAAATATAGTAAATACATATAACTTCATAAGATCATGATAATCATAGAGAAAGAGACACTTTCAGGCGAGCGTGCTACCGCTTAAGCCACATCCCCAGCCCAGAGAAAGAGATACTTTCAAATAAAGAAATAAGTCTAAACATATTTTCACCACTGAAAGAGAACCAGACTATCTCCTTATTCTGAAAATGTCAAGAGAAAGAATTAAGAATTAGTGCAGAAGAAAAACATTTCAGGAAACCAAATAGCCTTGAGATAATGGAGAGCTCTTCCTTAATAAAGAATGTTGGGGCTGGGGATGTGGCTCAAGCAGTAGCACGCTCGCCTGGCATGCGTGTGGCCCGGGTTCAATCCTCAGCACCACATACAAACAAAGATGTTGTGTCCGCCGAGAACTAAAAATAAATATTAAAAAAAAAAAATTCTCTCTCTCTGTCTCTCTCTCTCTCTAAAAGGAAAGGAAGGAAGGAAGAAAGGAAGGAAGAGGGAGAATGAATGAATGAATGAATGTTGGCTAATAAATGTAGAAGAAATAATAGAAAGGTCACCACTGTATACTAAATAAAATAATTAATTTGGGCAAGAATGCTAAAGRCTAAACACACACACACACTCACACATACACACACACAGAGATAATAATAAGAACTTGATATGTGCATATTGTGACAGTACCATTCAACAGAACACTTGCTGGTTACAAGGGGGAAAAACATCCTACTATAATGAAGGGATCTGCTATCACCATTGTAGCCAAGAAAATAGACATGACTTGTCTCAATATAATACCATAAAAAGTATACAGCATCACCTTTCAAAGAGTCTGGCAAAAATATTTAACCTAAACTCAGCCAATTCTTTTCTTTTTTTAGTTGTAGATGGACATAATGCCTTTATTTTGTTATTTTATTTRTCTATGTGGTGCTGAGGATCGAACCCAGCACCCCATGTGTGCAAGGCAAGCACACTGCCACTGAGCCACAACCCCAGCCCCTCAGCCAATTCTTTATATCCAGTTTTCAGGTTAGAGGAAATACAAGAGATTAAGAGCAAGTTAAATGACACCATGAGAAAAAAGAAAGATAGACTGAGAAGGACAGAGTACTCTACAAAATAAATGTTTTATTGTCTAAACAAGTTAGTATTATGACCACAAGAAACAACAACAACAAAAAATGGGGGTTGGGGGAAAGAAGACYATTTTATTATAATATTCACATAATTTAATATGTGGTCCCAAATTGGATACTAGTTTAAGTAAACCATGAAAGATACTTTGGGGAATATAATGAAATCTGAACATAGACTAAACAATTATAGGTATGATCATGATACACTGATTGTGTAAGAAAATATTCCTATATTTTCAAGATAGAAACTATTTAACTATTGGTATTCAGTAATGATTTCTAAAAAGTAAAAAAGGTTAGTCATTTGATCCTCCTCTACAAAAATAAAGAAAATGCTTTCTTATAAAAATGGAATAAATATTTTAAAACCTTTTTTCAAGAGAAAAATTATAAAAATGTACTTTAACCTAATGTAGTGCTACTTTTATTTGGACTCCACATTTTGGAATTATTATAAGTTAAAAAAGATAAAAGAAAGAAGGACTGAAACCAAAGTAAGATGGAAAAAAAAAGGAGGACGGGTAGGTTATAGCTTACCTTTTTTGATATCATTCCAGCACCTGCATTGCGTTTTACATCTCGAACAATGCTGCATTCCATCACAATAAACTCCTCCAGCTGTTTGGGATGGCATAAACTATTGAAAGGATGACTCCAGAAAGTGCTCCCATCAATATCTGCAACTAAAAATAAACACAGAAAACTACAAGACAAAAGAACTGATGTATTTCAAAGAGTCATTAAATTTGTTAACTAGGGAGGAGATAGTATATACTAACTGGGAAGTATCAGGTAAACAGGAATGACAATACCAACTCAGTCTCAAACTCGCTAAGAACTAACAGGTGTCAAACTCAGCTTAAGTAGTTTTTACAATCAGAATGCTAAAGGACTAAGTGGCTTTTAAATAAAATCATATTCAATGAGTTGTATACTTGTTTCATGTGCTGGCATTTTATTTTAGAAACACATCAACGTTTTAGTTGCTTAGTTTATGGGAACTAAGGCCTAGTTCTTCTGACAGATAAACAGTGTCTACTCTAGTACTACAGATCTTTAACTGATGAACTGTAATTGATAAGGATATGAATGACTTTTAGTAAATATCAAAATATACTCAAGTTTTATTACAGGGAACTTATGAAAAAAAATTAAGTACGAGATATAGTCAAATACTGAGACACCTACCAATGAGGTCTTTTTAAAATATATATATATATATATATATATATTTTTTTTTTTACAAAGAGAAAGTAAATAAATAATCTATTATAATGTTAGTAAATTATTAAAATTCCACATGCAAACTAAATGTTCCAACAGGTCACAAAAGGTCACATGTTCCAAAATTTAAAATACTTGTCAACTACTGAAATATAGCAATAAATTTATTATTTATTATTATTATTATTTATTATTAGTAATAGTAATAGTCACAAAAACTAAATGAGGCAAATAAGTCAATTTTAGTAAAAATTCATGACATGCAATAGGAAATCTATTAAAACTCTTAGAATCGTTTCCTTAAATAAAAAATACAAGGGTAACTAGTAAAATAGTTTATAATTCCATAGTGTTTCATAAATATTAAACAGTACAAATTTTAACTGGCTCTTCAACATAAAATTATTGAGAACAAAATTAATAATATAAATTATTATTGCCCACCATGCAGGACAAAACTGTCAAGGCAAATTTAGTTTCTATACTTACCTTGTAGGGTGTTTGGATCTATAAGATGGATGGCACTAGTTACTCGAATACATACACAGATCTGGTTCATATTTCCCAGACTTTGTGCCAGTTTTGGAGACAGACAGACAACATTATCCTAGGCAACAGAATAACATTTTAAATGATATAAGTCCTAAATAAGTCACCAAAAACACATTAATGTAAACTCAATCCAACTGTACTTGCCCAACCAAAATATTAGTTTTCACTCTTGTACCCACAAGGGATCTAAATAAAAGAATCAAACCTTAAATTAAAAATAAGTTATGTCTTAAGACAGGCATGTTTGCCTTAATTAAAATGCTTAAAAAAAAAAAAAAGTCTTTTAGAACCTAACCTTCAAACTGTTAAGATTACTTCAATTTTATTGCAGTTTGCTTACCACTCTAAATGTTAATATAGTGTACTTCCCAAGTAAAGTGTAACATCAGTGAACAACTTTCTAAATCGAATTGTGAATTCTTTTAATATCCATAAAAATTTCTAAGGAACAATGTTTGTCTTAAATGGTTACATGTACCAATATGTTAATCAAAGATTTAATTGTTCTATCTTCCGAACCAGATGTATACTGGGATATAGTATAGTAACTAGTAATATAATTATGTTTTTAAACAACATTAACATTTAACAAGGGCACATGCCTATTATCCCAGTGGCTCGGGAGGCTGAAAYAGGAAGATCTGGAGGACTATGAGTTCAAACCCAGCTTCAGCAACTTAGTGAGGCATTAAGCAACTCAGTGAGACCCTGTCTCTAAATAATACACAAAAAAGGGCTAGGATGTGGCCCGGTGATTGAGTGTCCCTGAGTACAATCCCTGGTACCAAAAAAGTGAGTGTGTGTATGTATATAAAGAATTTATTCACATCCATAGATCCACTGAAGGAACACTATGCGCATATAAGTTCCTCTCAAACCTTGGTTTTCCAAAAAAGAAATGAAATGATACAGTTAGCCCTCCATATCACATGTTCCACATCTGAAGATTCAACCCAATGCAGAATCAAAAATATTAAAAAAAAAAAAAACTGCACTTGTAATGAACGTGTATGTACTTTTTTTCTTATCATCATTTCCTAAACAATACAGTACGACAAATGTTTACACAGTGTTTACATTATATTAGGTATAAGTATTCTAGAAGGGGTTTTAAGTATAAAGGAGGATATGAATAGATTATATTCAAATACTATGCCATTTTATATAAGGAACTTAAAGATCCTCAGGGACCTACAGGGGCCCAAATGTTTTTTTCAGAACCAATTCCCCATAGATACAAAATACAGCAGTACTTCACACTGCACATTCCCCTAGATACTTGTATGAGTCACTCAAAGCAGTTAATACCCAGGTGTAAATATGTTTTCCTTACTAAATTCCTATTTTCCTGGCTTTGAGTTCAGTTTTAAACCAGGGGTTAGTAAAAAATGGCACTCAGGATAAATTTGGCCCATACTTGTTTTTTGGAAAGCCTTGCTAGGACATAGCCCTGACTATTCACTTTCATGTTATTCATGGATATTGATATGCAACAATAGCAGAACTGACTAGTTACAAGAGATTATATGTCCTAAAAATGGAAAATATTTACTAAATGGCCTTTATAGAAAGTCTGCCAATGCTGTATTAGGATATCATTTCATTCCCGGTAAAAGTTTTAAAGTCACAGACCTGGGTATAAATCCTGGCTTTATCATTTTGTAGTTATAAAATTTTGGGAAAGTCATCTAAGCTCACCACACTTGTTTCCTCATTTTCAAATATGAYAGGGCTTACTTCATTTATTATGAGACATGAATAAAATGAAAAATACCACAGTATCTAAATAATAACTTTATGTAGAACGGTAACAAAAAAATCACAGCAGTTAACTATTACACGTGATTTAATACTGATATGTAAGTTCGTACATGGTAGAAACCTCTAGCTACATTATCCTTAGTATATAGCCTAAGATGATCAATAACTGTTGAATTTTAATTCACTGATACTCTTGAAGGTTTTATTTTCTTATAACTAAATGAAATAACAATCTACAATCCAAATGTTTTATTCAGATTATCTTTTCAATAAAAATAATTCTGTGACCTCATTTCCACAATATTATTTAATCTTACCAATTGTTTGCACACATCCCACAAAATGGCTCACTTGTTGGTTTAAAAATGTCATTTATTTTAATTCAAAGTTTCATAGAGCTGTCCATATATTCTCTAGGGTCACAAATTTTAAGGAATAGGAACTTATAAAATCACAACCAGATCTTTCATCTTACTACACCAAAATGAAAGACATGTCAATTCATAATTAAAAGCATGATTACCCTTATCTTTTTTAACAAGGCTGAATGTGTCGTAAGTTATTTAAGAAAGTCTAAATTTTTGATCACCTCTGAAAGAAACCAGGAACTATGAATCACATATCAACCAATTAATTACTTGTACTCTTAAAGATATCAATTAAATGAAAAAATGTACCTTGCATATTGGAACAATTTCCACAGAAAAAGTGCTTTTGTAATTATATGTGTTACTATGAATATCCTGAGAGATCAGTCTTTGTGATGCTTTGTATCTATTAAGAAAAAAAGTTAATAGGCAAAGGTCTTTACTTACATAGACTCAGGAGTATCAAATTTCATTGAATCAATTTCACTGTCTAAGTTCTTAAATAGCTTCCTGATGCCTGCTATGGTAAAGCCTAATTTCATCTACTTGTATTTCAAAACCTATGACTATATACTGATGACTTCCAACCTTCTCTACTTATAATCAACTTTCAATCTTCTCTACTTAAAACCTCCATAATATGTCAATGGCTCAGATCATCTACTCTATATAGGATCTGTTAAAATCCATTCTAATGCCCATCACCATGTCTTTGTTCATCGTAAACTCACCTTTTGATATAAATTCCAACTATGAAAATTTTCCCCATCTTTGGAGAGTAATTACTACCTCCTCTATGAATCGTGTACTAAAAGTCCTCTTAACCCATCTTTCCTTTCTCTTATCATTTAAATACAGTTGATCAATGGTTCAGCACTACAGAGTTAGGTCTAACTCTCCAAAGGAAATTCTTACATACACATTAGCAAATGTATCTCTTGAAGAATAGATTTAACCTATACCCATCTCCAAGTCTTTGAACTTAGTCACATTTAGGTTCACAACATACCTACAGGGAACTGTACACTGAAGAAATTCTACCATCTTCTGAGCATGTTGTTTTGAGGAATAATAGAAATCCAGACCATCTTAAAAAAAAAAAAAAAAAAAAAGCTTTATGAAAATATTTCTGCAAAACAGATTTTCCTGTTAATGTGACTATATCACAAATCCATAATACAAAATCAAATTATTAGAAAATATTTAAAATATTAGGAATRTCACTTAAGATTTACTTGGCAAAAGGAGAGACAAATAAAAACAAGATGGATAATTTTAATTCTAGAGGGAAAAAAGGCTGGTTGTGGGGGTAGGGACAAAGAGTAGCTCAGTGTGATAGTGCATGCAATTAATCCCAGACACTTGGGAGGCTAAGACAGGAGGACAGCAAGTCTGAAGCCAGCCTGAGCAACTTAATGAGAACCTATCCAAAAATTAAAAAATTAGAAAAAGCTGAGTATAGTGGTGCACACTGGGAAATCYCAGTGATTTGCGGGGCAGATGCAGGAGGGTTACAAGTTTGAGGACAGCCTCAGCAATTTACGAAAGCCCTAAAGCAACTTAGCAAGATCCTGTCTCAAAATATAAAATAAAAATGGCTGGGAATGTAGCTCAGTGGTAAAGCACTTCTGAGTTCAACCCCAGTAACCGAAAAGAAAAGAAAAAATATTGGGGATATAACTCAGTGGTACAGTGCTTTCCTAACTTCTGTTAAGACCTTGTTTTCAATCCCTAGAACAAAAAAAAAAAAAAAAAAGAGAGAGAACTATTTTATATAACAAATTTAACAAATATTTATATAACAAAATCTACCAAGAAGATAACCAGAATCCTGAGACTTGAGATGCAAAAAAGAAAGTATGTTTTTTTAAAAAAGCTTCAATAAATCCCAGACAGCTAAAATCACATTAATCTGTTAATAATGCAATAACATTAAAAACTATCAGCAAAGGGAAAGCTAAAAGCAAACCCAATAAGAAATATTAAGAGACATTCTTGTAAATAACAAAATAGGAAAATAAAATTATCCATAATTGCTAAAATAAGATTGAAGAAAATGAACAAATTCATAGGACTCACACTAAGTAATCAAGACAGTGTGGTACTGGCATAAGGACAGATATATAAATCAATGGAGCAAATAATATTCCAGAAACAAACCAGAGATCTGTTTAGTTAATAGATCTCTGACAATGGAAAGAATAGTCTTTTAATTGGGACAAAGACATCTACATGAAAAGACGAATTTACACACTTATTTCACATCCTGCACAAAAATGAACTCAAAAGAGGAAAGGCCTAAACATAAGAGCTAAAATTAATGAAAGAAAACATAGGAGAAAATTTCTGTGAACTTAATTAGACAAACAGTTCTTAAGCACAACACCAAAAGTATAACAGAAAAAAAACGTGATAAACTGGACTTCATCAAGATTCAAAACTTCCACAATTCAAAGGACACCATTAAGAAAATGAGCCAGGTGCAGCACACAACTAATCCCAGCAACTAAGGAGGCAAGAGGATCACAAGTTCAAAACCAGCCTCAACAACTTAGCAAGGCCCTAGGCAGCTTAGTGAGACCATGTCTCAAAAAGGGCTGGGGATATGGCTCAGTGTAAGTGCCTCTGGGTTCAAAAAAAAAAAAAAGTACCTGGTACCAAAAAAAAAGGTATTAATTTGGAAGACAATCTATTAGTGTATATAAAATTTAACATTTGCATATTGTCCAATAATTCTAATTCTTTAAGTCAATCCCAAAGAAACCCACTACATATGTACAAAGATTAACATATAAGGATATTACAGTCTGCTTGTAGCAGCAAATAACGGACTAACTTGTAAGTCCATTAATGAAGAAATAATTAAATTAAAATACACACTGATTAATGAATACCACATAGTAATGAACTATAGGCAAAGTTGTGAGAAGTTTCCAAATATCTTAAATAGGGCAGCAAGTCATAGAACATTACTGAAAGATCTCACTTGAGGGAAAACCATTACTATCACAATTTATAAACAGAGCATATCTTATTTTAAGGAGTAATGCTATATATAGGGATGACAGGTAGATAAAGACAAAGTAGAGATCCTTTATATATACTTCCATGCTGGAATTTTTATGGGTGCTATTTTATAAATAACACTATAAATAAAGAAACAAGCCAAAGATTATTTAAATCAAACCAAGAATAAACAGAAAAAAATTCTCTAGATTATAAAAGAAGGGTTATTAAACCTATGGCACTTTTTGTTTTGAAAGTAATAACAGGGGGTGGAGGGGACATGGGAGGAATGGAGGARCTTTAGAAAGGGAAAAGAAGAGGGAGGAGAAGGGAAGAGCAAGGGGGTAGGAATGATGGTAGAATGAGTTAGACATCATTACCCTCAGTACATGTATGAAGACAGGAATGGTGTGAAAATACTTCTCACACAACCAGTGACTTGAAAAACTGTGCTCTATGTGTAATATGAAATGAACTCCATTCTGTCATGATGTATAACAAATTAGAATAAATAATAACAAAAAAATTGATCAGACATAAATATAACCTAAAACTATGAAATTTGGGGGGAAATATGGGAATCAATCTTCATGATATTGGTTGAACAAAATTTTTCTTAGATTTATAACATCAAAATATCAAGTAACAAAATAATAAACTGGACTATATCAAAACTAAAAACTTCTGTGCTTTAAAGTTTACTCTAAAGAAYGTGAAAAGATAACCCACAGGAAGTATTTACAAATTATATACCTGTTAAGGAACTTTCACCTATATGTAGAGTATATTAAAGAACTTAGAATTCAATAAGATAAATAACACAATTTAAAAATGAATAAAATAGCCAGGCACAGTGGAACATGCCTGTAGTTCCAACAGCTTGGGAGGCTGAAAAAGGAGGATTGCGAGTTCAAAGCCAGGCTCAGCAAAAGCAAGGTATTAAGCAAGTAAGCAACTCAGTGAGACCCTGTCTCTAAATAAAAATACAAAATAGGGCTGGRGATGTGGCTCAGTGGCCAAGTATCCAAGTTCAATCCCCAGTACCCTCCTCCCAAAAACGAAAGTAAATAGAAAATGTATTCAATTCTTTTGCCACTAAAAATTCTGTGTGAGGATATGTCTACCATGGCAATAAACTGTAACGGGGTTTTGCATCCTTCATCARACTATTTGAGTCTCTCTATCCCCCAAAGAATTACCAGAAAAAAGTTACATAGAAAAAGGTATTATTTTTGTCTGATGACTAGCCAATAAGGTACCTTATCCACAATAAGTATTCACTAAGCCACATTTCACAAATTTAGACTATGAGTCTGGCTTATTAAATTTACATTTTAATAATATAATTTTCTATCACTGCACTCTACACTACACTACACTCTGCACTCTACTGTACACTATGTATATTACTGGTTTACTCTTCTAGTGGCCAAGTTGAGCAGCCTACTGAGGGCAGAAATAAATATTAATTCATCTTTATGTCCTAAGAAACCTGAATGGCATCTATCACAATTCAAATGCTTAATAAATGTCTTGAACTGGGACAGAAGGAGAACATCAAGGAAGAACAATCATGCTTCTAGATATGTGATATCCAACACAGCAGCCACTAGCCACGTGTAAATTAAATATAAACTTATATTAAAATGTAAATTTAATAAGCCAGACTCAGAAAATTAAGAGTTGAATGTTTTCTCTTATATTGGAAGCTGAAGCAAAATAAGGGAAAGAAGGCGGAGGGGAGGGAATCCGATATAAGGATTTAGGGAAAATCAGTAGGAGAAAAAGGGGGTGGGGGAGAGAAGGAGAGACAGAAGGAGAAAGGAAATGGAAATGAATTTAACAAAACCATGTTATATACATATATAAATGCACTCAAGGGAATTTCATCTTTATGTATATGTAGAAAAGTAGCAATCAAAAATAAATAAATAAGGGTTTGGGATGTGGGTCAGTGGGAAAGCACCCCCCGAGTTGAATCCCCAGTACCAAAAATAAATAAATAAACAAACAAACAAACAAATGAAAGGAAGATCAGTAAAGGAGGGAGAAAAGGGAAAGGGAGAAGAGGAGGAAATAAGGGGAATGGGGATTGAAATCATATTTCCTGTATGTACAATTTTGTCAAAATGAACCCAAATACTACATACAATTAAAATGCTCTGATTAAAAAAAAAATGTGGAATAAAATTGATTTTCTACACCCCCCCAAAAAACATAAATTTAATGTAATTTTAAATTAAAATAGAAGAAAAAAAACTCAGCTCCTCAGCTGCACCAGCCATCTTTCAAATACTCATGTAGYTAGTAACTTCTATATTGGAGAGTACAGAAAGAAAACTAAGATTGTTTTCTTCCTAACAAAGGTTTTTTGGATAGTACTAATCAGATGTTATCAGTAAAGATAMGTAGGTTAATATAAATTAGAGTTCTTTTAAATTTTAACTCACCATGAATCTCTTTGATACGAAGTGTATTCTGATGCATTCCATATTTCAGAATCAACTGTTCCAGATAGTAGAATGTTTTTTTGTGTGAAGTCTACATATAAAACCATTATTTAATCAATAAACTGAACGCCAAAACAAGCCATTTATAAATATAGTACACATATACCATCTATAGGTATAGCACATTGATTTTTCAAATGAAAACAACCTTTAAAGATTACCTAAAAGGGAAAAAGAATAATCTATTTCTAAAGATGAATGCTCCAGGGATCTAGAATTCCTGGTGCTTAAAGAACTTGGAAAGAAGGGAAAAGAGGTTTTTTTACTAGCTGTTCATGATTGACAAAGATTAAATACAATGTAGAATTTACTCATCTGTTTCTCATTACCTTTTGCCTGACTTGAATCACGGCCTTCCAGAAATCCTTGGCTTCTACTCTGTGGCAATCTCCGCACATTTGGGACTGAACAACATAATCCACCACAAACACTTGCTGAAGTATAGCACCATTCATCACCTGGGGAAAAAAACAGTTACATTCCCTCATTCTTACAGTACTGTTTCATGATAAATACCTTTTTTACAAAATGTTTTAATAATTAATTTAAAATCTTTTTTATGGATGTTTTGGAGATATCCATATGTCAAGTTTAAAGACAAAAAGTTACTTCAAGACAGATATGCAGGTTTAATTCCTAAGATTTATTAGATCAACATTTTAAATCTACCTTTAGTTGAAATGACTGTAAGGACATTCTCTAAAGAATGTGTATACATGTGTGTACACATACGTGTGTACATAAGTGTGTACTTTCTTTGAATGGAAACAGAAAATTCACACTTAGAAGAAAAAATAAGACAAAGAAAATTCATAAAAGGAAATTATTCTTTAATTAATAGTTTCCCAGCATAACAAATCAAAACTCACCTGAGCTTTTTAGCTATACAGACAGGGTTGAGGGTATAGCTCAGTGACAGCATACACAAAACCCTGGGTTCAATCCCAGCACCAAAGAAAAGAAAAATAAATAAGAGGAAAGAAAGATATATATAGATTCCAGGTCCTCACATCCAGAGATTGTGATTTAGTTACTGTGAGTCATTATGATGATCAGCCAAGTTTGAGAATCATTACCTTAGCCCATGTTTTTACTTTAGTTCTTCTGACAAATTATTTAAACCACTAATAATCAGCAACAGCTGCTCTTATTAGTGACCAATCATTTGTACAGATGATCAAAGTAAAACAAAGGACTAAAACTAAAAGTACACTTTTCCTTTTATGCTGTTTAAGATATAAAATAACTTGCTACACCCTCATTATCATTTCCTACACTTTAACCATATTTAAAAAATAATGTATAACTTACCTCTTTTTGAATAGTCAGTTTAACTTTAAGTCTTTTAGAATGGGGCTCGGTCCAAACAAAGCCTGCATCTACAAGGCGTACCTTCAACAAAACATATACAAAAAGAAACATAAGTTCCTACCTGAAGGAAAAAAAATAATAACTCATTAATAAACAGACTTCATAAAAAGTTTTAAAGAATTTGTGATTAGCATCACTATAAAGAAAATTTCATCATCGGGGTATGGTAACAATAGCAGTAAATAAAAGGACAAACTAATGGCTGTATTAGTGCAATTGATACAATCCAAGAAAGAAAGTTATCTGCATAGGAAAAATCATTTTCTCTTAAGTGTACTGATCTAATGGAAATTACATTTTTTAAAAGAAAGCAAAGAATTGGTGGCCACATTACTTAGGAGAAAATCCATGAACAAAAGTTTCCACTTCAATTATTCCCTCATAAAGTCTGTAGCTTTTTTTAAAAAAAAACAACAGACATTCATTAAAAGAAGTTTCAAGCATTAAGTACTGAATCCACCACTATAACTCACTTCCCAATCTAACTCACTGCCAAATCTGTAGTACTTTCAGGGGCCAAAAACAATTCACTATATTTGAGTAACTGAATATAACTAGAAGTGGGGTTTGGGAATAAGGTGAGTGGGAGAACAAGAATGTAGGATGTTGCAATAATTTGAGCAAGAGTTGTAGATAACTTTAACTGAGAAGAATTGGAAATAAGAAGAAAATGCAAGAGCTACTTAGGGGATAAAATCCACAGAATTTAGTAAGTGAATTTGGCAAAGAGGAAGAAAACAAGCTTTAGAATGATTATCTAGTATCCAACTTGGGCAACGAGCTAGCACAACTTTTCTGACACAAATAACAGATTTAATTGGAAGAAATGTTGCACTTAGCTTCAGACATTTAAATTCATGGCATATCTGAGATATCCAAGTGGATTTGTTTAATGAATGTTATGATACATATTGATCTATGGAAAAATCTGTGCTGTATTTAACAGATCTGGAAAGTATGAGAAAGCAGACTTATAATTTTATCAAGTACTGTCTGATGAGAACAAATCTAGCAAGTGTAGATGCAGCACTACAGAGTAAAACCTTCCTTATATAACTGGCTCCTCTAAAGCAAAACCTAGTAGTCAACAAGCTGCCAGGTATTAAGTATTATTAAGTATTAAATATTATTATTAAGTATTAAGTATTATTAAGTAATAAGCAGATTCCTATTCCTACAGTCTCCCTCTATGGAATGGAGATAGGGTCCCTGTTATCCACCTCAGCATTCCGCAACCCAGCATCACCACACTAACTGTCCTTAAACAACCACAACTCATCAATCTTACTGGGCCTTTTCATCCTTCTGTACCACAGTCCCGGACACCTCAGTCATCCCTCATTTCCCATACTCTGATTTTCATATGGTTCCACATACATCCTATTCTGTCCTCATCTAACATTTCCTCTCAGATCCTGTAACCCTTTCACTGTACTCTGTAGAACCCAATACTTGCTAATAACAAAACCTCCTAAGTCCTCAACCATTTTCCTGGACATTCCTTTCAACTTCTAGATCCCCTAATTATATTGCTCCCTATAGCTAGTGAAAATATTGACTGATTTTTTTTTTCCATTTTCTTCCTATCATTAGACCAGAAGCAAGACAGATGTATTATTTGCTCTTCATTGCTAATGCCAGACCATTCTTCCTGCATTCTCCTTCAATACAGACTAAATTGAAAGTCATCAGACTCTACCACTTAACACTCTTTTAGGTACAGTTATCTGTTAATCGTTATACTGCTTGCTCTCATTTCTCAAGGATTTGAGAAATTTCTCCTGGATCACTGTTAGTCTTTCCAACAATATTAATATTTAGCAATTTCTATATCCATACACCCTAACTCCTCCATTCTTTAAGTTCTATTCCCCCAGGATCTTTTTTTCCTTCCTATCTCTAGTATTATTTCCTTTTATCACCAATAACTACAACTTTTCTAAGATCTTAATTCCAAACAGCCTATTCACTGACTACCACTTCTCTCTAGCTCATTACCTCTATTCCTAGGCACCAAAAATCTTCCAATCCAACACCAGAAAATCCATTCATCCTATCACTCTTTCACTACCTCTCATAGTCTTCATCTACTCATTTCCATCCTATTTCCAAACCAATCATCAAAATTACTCCCATGCATACATTCTCAATTCCCTTGGTCCCTATTTAACTTCACTATAGTGATAGGCTAAATCATAATTTAGTTTATGAAAAATGCTTTGCCTGCTCTATGCATCATCAACAGTAACTGTCAATAATGCCCAGCACCCATACAACACAGTTCTAATACATTCCCTCTTCTACTTTCCTAGGACTATTTTAAATYTTCTCTCTTCAAACATCTAATAGCTCTTCCCTCATAGCTATGGCCCATGCTTCTGTTTTCTTAGAAGAAAATTTCCAGAAGCTCCCACTTACCAACATCTTTCCTGTTACCACAGATGAACTGCCTATGTTACTAACAATATCAACATCTACAATGTCCCATTAGATGTTCCAGGCTCCCAAAACTGTACCCATAAGAGAGTAAGTACTGGATAATGAAAGAACAAACAAATGTATTCTTCCACTATCTGTTATATTTTCTCTTTCTACTCTTAAAGGGCACCTCCAGCCAATTATTGTTTCCTTGCAGCTCAACAAAAATCTCCCTTTGTATATTATCATTTCCAGAGCTTACAATTATACTGTTTCACATCTTACATCTTTTATTTTCCCTAATTCCTTCCTCTTCCTCAATCCCCCTCTCCAATCACTGMTCCATTTGAGTCCTTCTGCAACAAATCTCAAAAGAACTATCTATATCTACTGCCTCTAATTCCTTCTCCCTTTCTTTCACTTCCATTTAAAGCACATCTTTAACATCACCACTAAACAGAAATTGTTTCCAGAGTTAACTAATAATCTCCACATTCTATAAAACTTACCACTGCAAAACACRTAGCCAACAACTCCCTTTTCTTAAAACACTCCCCCTCCTTGCCTTCTAGAATATCACACTCATCTAATTTTCCTGCCTCTCTAGCAGTTCCTTTGAGTCCCCTCTGCTGGTTACTCCTTATCTTCCTAAAATTTTATCATTAAAGGACTCCAGAATTCAGTACTCCAGTTTTTTCCCTTCTCAATCTAAACTTCCTAGATAATCTTATCCAATTTWTGGCTCTAAATAGTACCTATACCTCAAATTCTTTATCTCTAGTGTAGACTACTATCCTGCTTATTTATCTAGCTGCCCACTCAGTATTGCTACTTAAATGTCTAATGGACATCAAAGTATCAGTTACAGATGAGCTCCTATCTCCCCCACTCTGACCTATTTTCCTTAAAGCTTTTCTTACCTCACTAATGGCAACTCCCTCTTACAGGCTGCTCAAACTGAAAACAGTGGAAGTTATCTTTAACTCTTCTACCTCTTACACACCCATCCAGCTACATCAGTAGATGCACTGCTCAGCTTCAAATTAGACCCAGAATCTGTCCACTTCCCACCATCTCCATTTCTGATCCCAAACCATCATTTCTCAGTATTATTACAATCACTTCCTAAGGCCAATGCTTCTACCTTTACTGCACAGCCCACTTTTATTCTAAACCAACAGCTAGAGAACTAAAAACTGAACCATATCACTATTCTACCCTTTACATCTATTACAGTTGATGTAAAAGCCAATCCTCACAAAGGCCTATAAGGCCAGATATACTCTGACATTCCCTAATTTATTTGACTTCATCTCAACTACTTTTCCTCTCACCACTCCACTCTAACCACACAGATGTGATCTCACCTCTGGTCTCTATATTTCTTGTTTTGCTTTATCCATAAAGCTTTTCCATCAGATTTCTACACAGCTCCCTTTCTTACCATCTTTAATGTTTATTCAAAGGCCACCTTCTCAGCAAGGTCTCCCCAGACACCTTATTTTAAATTGCAACTCTTCCATTAATAATTATTTCCTTCCTAGTTTTTTTTTTGCACAAAACTCATACTTTTTAATATGCTATATAACATACTTATTTTAATCATTGCTTATTCTACATATCACTCCCTCCCTCAAACCAAAACAGAAGCTAAAACAGGGATTCTCTCTCTTAATCACTATCATGTCCCCAATACCAAAAGCAGTTTGGCACATACCTGTTACTTATTAAATATCCACTGAAGGAATTAACAAATTATTAAGACTCATGAGACACTTGGCAAAAGATGAAGTATAAACTGAAAAACTAAGAAACACAAAAAATAGAAAAATCAGGGAACAGATGCTAAGTTTTAAAAAATATCATACCACAGGGCTGGGKTTGTAGCTCAGTGGTAAAGTGCTTGCCTCATATGTGTGAGGCCCTGRATTCGATCCTCAGCACCACATAAAAACAAATAAATAAACATTAAGATATTGTGTCCATCTAAAAATATCCTACCACAGGTTGAGTATTCCACAGTTTGAAAATCTAAAATCCAAAGTGCTTCAAAATCCAAAACATTCATAGCACTGGCATAATGCCACAAATGGAAAATTCCACACCATAAAACACAAGATTACTTAAAATATTATATCAAATTACCTCCAGGCTATGTGGACAAGGTGTATATGAAACATAAATGAATTTTGTGTTTAGACTTAGGTCTCTTTCCTAAGATAACACAGTAAACTCACGCAAATATTAAAAAAAATCTTAAACTCAGAAATCTGAAACAATTCTTGTTCCAAGCATTTCAGATATGGAATACTCAACCTGTTCAAACTCCCTAGAAAAATTCAAAGACAAAATGCATCAAGAACATGAAAGATTCCAGAACTTAAAAATAATACTTCTGGGGGAAAAATAACAGAAAGAAATAATGGAAGATAAAGTAAAGGAAACTGTCAAGMACATAGGGGGAAAAGTAAATATGAAGGAAAAAAACAAAGTTTTAAGCCAAGAAGGCCAACATTTGACAACAAAAATTATAGGGTGGCAAGGAAATAAAGGGATGAAGAACTAGCACATGAAATTATATCAGAGCTTAAAGGAATCAGAAAAGCCTTCAAACCGAAAGATTTCATTTCAATTAAAAACATACATGGTAGAAGTGAGTCTAAAATTTTAACAAAGAAAATTGAAAGTGTATGTCAAGAAATAGTTAGGACTCTAGAAACAAACTGTATTTTTTTGGAGCCATTTATGCATTGACTTGAAAATAGGCAATTTTCTTTCCAGACCAACAAATAAAATAAAGAGTAACCAAACAGCACAGTCCTAATACTGCAATCTACTTAATTATGGATATATAGTGACAGTCTTATAAAGATTTTCAGAAAAATTAATATTACACAGAAGAGGTTTTAAATAAATAATTGATTCTTTCAAAACAAAAAGATAATTTCATTTTCCATTTAAAAAAAAGTGTGTTTGTGTGTGTGTGTGTGTGTGTGTGTGTGTGTGTGTGTGTGTTTGTGTGAGTATATAAGAATAAAAAAACTTTTAAATGAAAGCATTTATAGTGGGGTAATACTGGTAACAATAGAGGCATTTAGCAGTTACTTTTTAAAAACCCACTGTACCTAGATTTTCTGAATTTTAATCAAGTGGTATCTATAAACACTGATTTTAGTTGTTTGACCTACCTTACTCAGAGGAGCTTTGATTTTTTTCAAACACAAAGCAAGAAGTTCCCTGGATTCTAAAGCACACTGTACCCAAGTTCCCGGTGGCTGAAAATATCTAAGAAGATAAAACACTGAAATTCAATATCTCAAGGAAAAATGAAAATTTTCATCTGAATATTCAGATGTAATAATAATTATTAATCAGGATTAATAACACCCAAGGTTTCTCTGAAGCATTAACCCAAACAGCTCTAGTATTAAAAAAGCAAAATTCTGACTGAGAAAGCCAATCTGAAATAGCCTATTAATATGGTCTTATTACTTCAAGAGTTGAAAATTTAGATTTTCACTTTCYAAGGTTCTATTAAAAACATTATACAGATTCCCCTTTGCTTATAAGCACACTTTTGGAGGTAAAAAGGGTTTCCCAAATCACCTAATAAAATTCCTTCATTCTGGTGAGAAAACAGAGATGATGAGTTACCAAGAGTTTTAAGAAACTAGTTTGTAAGAAATCCAAGACAAATTAGGCCTCCTTATCTTTGTCCACTACTTTTAAAACTCCACCATGCTTTTAAAAATAGCAAATATTTGTAATAAATTATCACACTTGCCAGGTTTGCACACTGTTAAATCCCTAAAATAGCACACACAATTTCATGTGTCTATAAAGCTATGTATACTGACTACTTTTCTGAGAAGAATTTTTGAATTTTCTCAGAAGTCCTTGAACCTCCTCTTCATATACGCAAAAGAAGTAGAGCACTAGACTCTTTTCCAATCCCTTTGAGAAATCACTGTCCAGTTTTGTGTTCCTCGATGGCCTGCTGCATTTAAGCCATTTAAGCCAATAAGGGAAATAAAGAGGGAATGAAACATTAGCTTTCAGAAGCCTTCTGCCTTCAAATTCAGTTTTTATTTTAGACCATTTCAGATGATTTACTGAGCTTTTCCAACAATTATAGTCAATTTAATTAAAACACATTGCTACATTAGTTAAAACATGAAGTGCTTTTTTTTAATCATACATAGCTCCTAAAGAAACAACCTCAAGGACATAAAGGTAACATATCTTTAATAATCTGTTCTCACCCTTACAGACACCAACTCTTATTTACCAATTATATGCATCAAATCTACTAAATTCTTGAACAGAAAAAGAACAGATTCAAATACCTTTACACCTTACCAGATTAGTAGAGCAAACTAAAAATTATACCATAAAACACAAATTCTAAAGTAAAAATTAAACCTAAATTGTGTATGCTTTATTCTGTGTATTTTGGTATAATCTCAGCATATCTCAATGGGTCTCTATATAAATTCCAACTTTAAGTAAAGTAAAATAGTAATGCACTGTACCTTTGACATTGTTTGCAGAAAGAAATTGAGACCTGTTTCGGGATACCTTGACTGATGTCTACTTTACTTCGCAAACAGGCCACACAAATATTGGCAGGATTTGGACTAATCGGGACACCACACTCACAGCACAAGCTTGAAAAAATAAGTGATAAATTTTTCAAATTTATTTTTAAACATACTAGTTATAAAAAAGTTACCAAACAAAAGATTTGAAGTTAGGCCATATTAATGCCCTTTTATGAAAACATTACATAGAAACAGCAATCTTCAAAGATAGGGTAGATAGTACAACCAGAGAAATGTAAAGTTATGCTGCAATTGTATACTATGAATCAAAATGCATTCTGCTATACATAATTAAAATAAATAAATAAATAAGAAAAGATACATAAGATAAATGGCCTAGTGCCATTGAAACAAAGGAGTAAAAAAAATCAAGGATGGCTATAATTCTTAAAATACAGCAGATGTCCTAAGGTTCTAGAGAGTGAACACTGTCCAACAAAACTTCATATAAAGATAGAAATATTCTATTTCTGTTCAGTTCAATGATAGCCATAAGCCACACATGGCAAGTGAGTCACCTGCAGTGACTAGTGCAGTCACCAGGAATTAAATTCTTTTGATTTAAATTCACATTTAAATAGCCAGGAAAGATATGAATAAACTTTTCCTATTAAAAATAAATGTTACTATGCCTCATTAAAGTGAATAGAGACACATTGATAGAAAATACAAAATTTGCACTAATCTCAATTTCAAATACTTAAATATTAAAAATGCAAAAAAAAAGTTCTCTTTACCATACCCAACCAAGACCACCCATAATTTACCATTTACATATATCCTTCCAAACATTTTCTATAGACACAAACATGCACATTAATTTTTACCAATAAAAACACAATAAATTGCACTATTGCAAATGTAATAGTAGGACCTACAAAGGACCTCATAGCTTTTGGGGAGGGATCACTCACACACATACACACACACACACACACACACAAAATAAAAATAAAGAATGTGTATCTTAAAAGTTTTGAAGGACAATGGATATGCCAATAGGCAGTGCCATTAGACAGCAATATACTCCAAAAGCAATTCACAAAACACACACACCTACCCAGAGGAAAACTTGTTTTTAAAATAGGATACGAAGTTTATCAATGTAGTGATCCATTATAAGTGATGGGATTTTCATGATTCTAAAGTAAATTGGGAGCAGAAAGTTTTAGAATCATTGATACAGATCAATATTCTCCAAAAGAAAATTTGATACTCTTCCAATGCTGGCTACTGACCATCTGAAATGTARCTAGTATGACAGAGCAATTGAGCATTCAACTTTATTCAAATTAAATTTAAATAGACACACATGGTTAGTGGCTACATATTGGACAATGTCATCTACAGAATGCATAGGGAATATTTTAACCTTTTTTTTTTTTATTTGTGTGGTGCAGAGGATTAAATTCAAGGCTTTGTGCATGCTAGGCAAGCACTTTTCCAACTGAGCTATATACCCAGCCCTTATTGTAACCTTAAGCATGTATTTACTGGAACAAATATTAGAACTAAACATGAATTCGATTTTCTGCAGAAATAAGACTTTCATTTTTCCCATTTATGATTTTAAAAAACTCTCTTACCACTACCACCAAAAGTTTTCCCCTGTTATGACAGTACGTTTCATGAACTCACTGTAAGATTTTAAAATTGAAAAGGGATAAAGTGTCACAACTCACATGTGTCCAGGGCTGCGGTCGGTGGATTCTGTCATATACTCCATTGTTCTGTACACCTTAATTTAAAAAATAAATGGAGGCTGTAAATCATTCACCTACCCGCCCCCCTCTTTATTTTTCCTTCTGCCTCTCTGAATAGGCAACGGAGCTTCGCACAAAGCAGGACAGRAAGAAAACCAACTCTTCTTGGCAACTTCAGAAGCAACTTTCTAGACTTAAGACCTACGCATCTCTGGAGTCTCCCATCTGCAAGACATGCTCCGCAACCCAGCTGCCGCGGACCTCAGGCCTAGCCTGGGAGGGCCATCTGGGCGGACCCACGCCGAGGTCTGCACGGTCAGCGGACACCAGGGCTCTGCCCAACTCCACAGGACCGCAGCACTCACAGAGCGCCCCCACCTCCGACCCGCGCTACCAAAGTCCCCAGGAGTCATCACGGCGGCTGTGATCACCCACCTGGACCCCAACTCCAAGCCCGGACTGGAACCCCGCCGGCGGCGAACACGCTGCACGCACGCGGCCTGAGCCGGCCGGAACCCAGCGCCTGGCCCCGCTCCCTCCTCAGGCACCCTGCTGGCGCCTGCACCCCGCGTCTCAGCCCCTGGAACCTAGTTAACGTCTCCCGGACCAGCCTAAATTTATGGAAAAATCAGCAACAAAACCAACGCTTACCGCACTGTCAGTTGCCACCACAGTCGGACCGGCTAGGGCGAAAATCTCGCGAGAAAGGCTCGAAATCCCGCGAGCTGAGGGACACGTGCTAAAGGAGCAATGGGGAGGAGAAAGGGCACAAGTGGGCGGGGGGGGGAGGAGAAAGAGCACAGGTGGGGGGGAGGAGAAAGAGCACAAGTGGGCGGGGAGAGGGGCGGGGAGAGGGGCGGG